CGAACGTTTGCATTGTATACGATCGGTACTACCTTTGTTTTCAAAGTCTTTCTATTTTTTGGCTATGAAACACATCTACTGACACTGAAATGGCCGTTTCTGAGTCCCTGTTATCTGTGCCAAAGAGTGGGACTACACGTCCTGTTCCACGGCGTTGCAGCACCTCAGATGTTATGACGAGATTGGAGCTGTGGAATGTCAGTTGCGTAACATGTCACACCCATTTACGAAGCACACTGAGTTTTGGATTGAAGGAAGAAGGATAAAGTTTTTGGCGTTAATCAATCCCGTCTGAGGTATGCACCCCCGCACTCGACTTCCATTCAGAATCGTAGTGGTCTGTTGAATGTGTATGTGGCCTATAAAATGACTTGCGGCGGCCAGCCGATGTACGAGTCAGTGCTTTTACCCTCTCAGACAGGTCTGGTATCAATGTCCAATGAGGAACGGAAGGCTTGCTTACTCAGGCGGATACCTATCCAAAATTCGGACCCGTGACCGTGCGTGTAGATAGTGCGCCACTTGCCATTACGCCACCTCCGCTTGGAGTTTTGTGATGTCTACTAAAAATTTGGAAACATCTTAAGATTGATCTACCTAGATCCTGATCGTGAAATTTTAGGCTGGGTAGTACAAAGATTTGTGAAGGACGAAGGGATGACAGGGAGGAAAAACCCAATTTTTGGATGGGTTCTTTTTGCGCACTAGAGTGCAATGCTTATCCCAAGAAATATTTCTGAGCCTTTACGATCCTTTCAATTTTTCATTTGATTTTTACTGAATCTCTTTTGACAATCAATTTGTCGTCTAGCTGGCATACCACTGTCGGCACAACATGCTCATTTTTCAAAAGTGCATCAGAGGGGCGGTGTATCACAAATGCAGGGATTTGTCAAATTGTTGCCGTTAATACGATTAGTATCAGTGTTCTGTCAGCTGTCATATTGTTCCACTGGTTTTCTTATCATTTTTATCAGTGACTATCCTAAGAATTGATTATCTCGGTTATTTATAGTGTAATTAATTAATTTCCGCAACGATCTCTGTAAAGAAAATGGGCCAATTTGACGGTCGTGTGGTCATCGTCACAGGTGAGGTTGATCACTCCTTCAAAATGCCCAAAAAACAGATTCTATTCAAGTCGATATGAACTTATAAGGGTTCTTTGAAGGGTCCTCTAATGGAATTGGCCGAGCGACTGCCGTAAAATTCGCTAAAGAAGGGGCAATGGTGACAATTTGTGGACGAGATGAGAAGACGCTGAATGTCAGTTTTAACGGATTGTTCTATCAGCAAGTCAAACTGTTTCTCAATAAGTTCTAAAAACTTCAAGGAAACGAAATCGATGGTACTAGCGGTGAATGGTAGCGATGAGAAGAAGGTTTTCATGGTTCGTGGTGATATTTGTCAAGAAGAAGTAAAGAAGGAAATTGTCGAAGGAACAGTGAATGCATTTGGTCGGCTGGACGTTCTGGTAGGGCCCCTTACTTCTTGAGTTTTTACCAATTCCGTCGTGCTGAACCTCTTTCGCCATCGTGAAACTTCTTGCCTGAACAATGCAACATCAAGATAATTGTGTAGTCAATCCGGTTCCTCTTGAATACGTCAGACCATTGGTTTCTTCCAGAACCAGAGAGCAATTCGGATGGAATATGGTAAACTGTGACAAACAAGGGCTCTCATTGTTTATCACATTAATGTTTACCCCCTTCTGTACGGTGCAACCCTGTCAGACCTGCAATGAGGAGGAAAAGCCCAGATAGCGTAACATTCTTGGGCTTTTCTTCTCCAGTGTCGGTTTGTACAACAAAGCTCCTCTTGGCCATTCCTTAGAGACTTCACTTTTGTATTCCTCCACTAAGTGCTCAGAAGATTCCTTAAACAGCACCCATTTGTTTTACCTTTTGTAAACTTCTTCAAAGGCTTTGACTTTCCTTCGATGATAATCAGGTAAACAATGCCGGTGGAGCCAATGCGGTTGACTTTGAAAAGCCGGAAATCGAAAGCGATCTGAGCAATTTCGAATACATTCTTAATTTGAATTTTAAAAGGTATACGGTAAATTTTCATTCAGCAATGGTTTACTGAAGCTTTCAAAAATCTATTCAGCATCTTTCGAATGTGTCAATTAGCTCTTCCACATTTGGTTGAAAGTAAAGGCGACATCGTCAATGTGGGAAGTATTGTTGGCCGGCCAAATGGTGCAGTGAGTGACACTTCTATCAGAATCGTCTCTTTTATCAGTGTCTGTCAATAAGGCCAAGAA